ATTAGAATCCCCATTAGATAAAAGAAGAAACCAAGGTGGGGAGAAGTTAAGTAACTCGCTCAAGGTCACACAATTAGAAATGCGGACACGTGTTCTGTGGTCATTCTGGTGCAGTTGCTCACCTGAGATGTCCGCCTGGTGTCTCAGTACCTGGTGAAGTCCACTTTCCCAGCCAGGGCTAGAAGCCCTGTGCCCCTGCATGATGCCAGGTCACTGGGTGTGTTTCCAAAGTCTAGTTCCATAGCTCTTTGCTTTCCCAGAGCTTGCTGGGTAATGGCCAATATGGTTTCCCAAACCAGGTGTCCATGGAATACTGAATTCTGACATCTGAATGAAGATATTTCACAGCTAATATTGAGTCATAGACTTCTTTCCCCCAATTTTTAAGAAAACTTGGCAAAAGCATAGCATGTTCTCAATTGTTGATTTTTCTTCCATGATTTTCTTCTTACTCCTTTTTTTTAAAGATTCTTTTTAATTTTAATTTTTTTATTATTTTTCTTTTTTCTCCCCAAAGCCCCCCAGTATGCAGTTGTATATCTTTAGCTGTAGGTCCTTCTAGTTGAGGCATGTGGGACGCTGCCTCAGCCTGGCCCTGTGAGCAGTGCCATGTCCACGCCCAGGATTTGAACTGGCGAAGCCCTGGGCCGCCGGAGCACAGTGCGTGAACTTAACCACTCAGCCATGGGGCCAGCCCCTCTTCTTACTCCTTTGGAGCTCACACTTGTTCACCAGCTGGTGATAGTAACAACAAAACAAATGGACAAGTAGCAAGTAAATGAGTATTGACAGAAAAACTTGGAGATGTGAGAACTTTAATATAGTACATATTATGTCCTGAGGGAGAGACCTAGCTATAAATGAAATACTTATATTATTTCTGCTAGTAAGATTGTTCCTGGTTTGTAATGATAAAGTTAAAGCTATCTCTGTTAGTATTCATGGCCTATAGGTGTTCTGCCAACCAAACAAATTTCAAAACTAGGGAGTGTTCAGAACCAGACTGGGCAATTCTAATAAAAATAGCCAATATTTATTATATTGCTTACTACCTTCTAGGCACCGTCCTCAGTACTTTTGATACACTTTTGATCTTGTTTAAACCTCACAATGACCCTATGAGGTAGATACTGTTATTATACTCATTTTATGGATGAGGAAACTGAGGCTGAGAGAGATTAAATAGTTGACCAAAGTCACACAGTTTAAAGCCAGTGGAGACGGACATTGAATGAGCCCAGTCTGACTCCAGGGCAACGTTTCTTTCTCTCCAGGCTGAAGGGAAAGTAAAGAAGGAAGAAGAGAGGGAGGCAGAACGCAAATACTGAGGAAGTACTTTCTCTTTCTCAGCGTTGTGGTAGGGGCTTTCTCCCTCACTGAAGCGTCACCTCTTTCTCGTCATGGAGCTAGTGCATGGTATAAATGTGAAGAGCTCTGGATCAGGACTTGAAAGGTGGCAGAGTTGCCCATCAAAATTCCATTTGCCTCACAAGGTTCAAACAAGACATGAGTGGAAAAAGGCTTTGAATGCAACTTGGGTACCTATGATTTCTAGAGGGCAACATGTCCTGGTGGGTTGGTCCCAGCAGGCTCAGGGTGGGAAGGCACATATCTTAGGCTATCTGGGCCTTTGCACAGCCTTGAGGCCATATAGGAGCCTAACTTCCCAGCCTCAATGCACTTTTAACCAGACTATGCGGGCTGGCTGAGTTCAAGGCCACATATAGTGATTTTAAAGGGGCTAAATCCTGTACAATCACCCCTGCCCTGGCCTAATCTGCTCTTACCAGGCTTGTTCACTGCCTCGGATCCTCTGTGGGTGGGAACACAGTCGGCGCCCAAGACCCAATTCTCCCTGCGTTGCCTGCCTGGAGATGTCCCGGAAGAAGATTCTCCAGACCGAGGAAGGGCCTCCTGGTCTTACATAACCAGTATTGAGCACTGGGTGCTGATTCTTGATAATCCATACCTCTCCTTCCCTAATCACAGCTCCCAGGGAGCAACAGCCGGGGGTCACGTGGAGAAGCATTCAAAATAGCTACCACACCGAGTAAAAATTGATTCCCTCGGCCCACCCCTTTCCCCCACCTCTCTTTTCATTTATGAAGTCAGTTTTTTGTCAGGCTGAACATTTAAATGCACTCTATGCTCTCTGGATTCCCCCCAGTGCTCCCCCTTTCTCGTTAAAATTCTAATTATTACCAGAGCAAGTAAAAGGTATGATCAAAGGAAAGCAAAGCCCTAGAAATACCTTTTGTTTTAAGGTGACTCATATTACAGAGAATGCATCCAGAACAGCTGTAACAGAGAACAGATGTGAAGGGTCTGGAGATGGCCAGATACTTAGAATAAGGATACGTCTATCTGTGGTGGCTCTCACAGTGAAACCCAGGGGGATAAGGCCTAAACCAAACCGCTTAGATTGTGAACTCATAACAGCAAAAATGATTTTGATTTCGTACCTCCAATATACATTTATTTATTCCCACATTATACACATGTCTGCAGAGGGGGCATTGCAGAGCTGAACTGCCAGGGTTGTATCCCGGTCCCATCACTTACTAGCTGTGTGACCCTGGGCAGTCCATGTAACCCTCTGTGCCTCAGTTTCCTCATCTGCAAAATGAGGATAATAATCATCCTGTTTCATTGGAGAGTATTAAATGAGTGAATACATAAAAAGCACTTTGTACCTTGGACATGATAATGTTCCATAACTTGATTAAATCCAATAATAAAATGCTATCATTTCTAGTACTATCAACCTGTATATTAACGTTTTGATTTCTTATTTTTAAGATAATAAATTAGTATTGAAACAATCTGATATTTTTTCTCTTGTGCCCCTGGGGTGCATGCACACCCACTGGAGACCTTTAGGCTAGAAGTTAACTTAGAATCAGCCTTCCTGGTCCCTGGTGGACTCTGGGTGAAGGACTAGCTCCAGCTGCTTTGGCTGGGAAAGACTCCACTGTCTCTGTGTGGGGCTGGGGGTTGGAGTAGGTGGCTAAGGACTTGAGGATTCTCTGCTGTTATTCCTTATTAATGGAGGTGATAGCGATCAAGGCCAGTACCCTACAGCCAGGGAGTCAGAAGGCACTGCTAGCTCCCGAGAGAGGGCAGAGAGAGGGCGGCTGATGTTCTCACCTCCTCCTCAGATCCCTCTGGATAGGGGACAGCGTTCCCTGGGGCCTGGGGGCTGAGAGTGCTCTGGATCCCCCCAGGAGGGACCTGGCATCTCTACTCTAAGCCTAGCTTAGAACCTGGCACATGGCAAGTGCTCAGTAAATGTTGATTGAAGGATAATTACAGCTCTTTTATGTGCCATTCATTCATTCACTCCTTCATTCTCATGTGCCAGTTTCTATGCTAGGCCCTGAGTCAGACAAATATAAAAAACACAGAGTTACAGTAGCTTACAGCTTAGTCAGGGACAAACAGGCTGGGGTAGTGGGAAGAGCCCCACTGGCAGTGAGCATCTGGACCCTGGTCCACGCTCTGCTTCTGACCGACCTGTGATCCCAGGCAAGTCTCTTCTCTGGACTACTGCTCCCATCTGCAAAATCACAGCTTATCCTCGGTGCTTGTAGGGTCATTTCTCACCTTAAATCCTAAGATTCTTAAGGCACTGGGACAGAATAATATAGAGGCTGGAAACTCACAGTCCTGCAGGGGCAGGCAGGTAACAGGGAGTGGAGCTGGTGAGGACACACCCCTCCAAAGGGAGTGGCCACTTCCCACTGTGCAGGGGCACAGGTGCAGTTACCGAGTCCACGGGCCTTTTCCAGAGAACCAGAAATCTAGTGTGGTGATGATGATGATGATGGAATTCCTCAATTTTTCAATCATTGTGTAAGCCAAATAAGACTCCCCTGCTGGCTTGTCCACAAATGAAACTTTGTGCAAACCCTGCCAAGAGTACCATTCATTCAGAGCCTTCTGACTACTCAGAAAAGGAAGAGGCCTTGGGCTCAAAGCTTTCTTCCTAAAGGTGGGATGGGAGGTCTGCTTAATAATCTCCCCCAAAGGGAGGCATTCCTTACAGCTCTCCTGGGATAATGGGCATCCTACAGGGGCACAGTGGGCTGGGGCGGCACAGTGAGAGGCCACCTCTGAACCAACCACATTCACAAATACCAGTTTTACAGCAAAGCTGTCAAATAGCCACAGGAATGGAAAAAGACAGCTATAGGAATCCATTGTATTTAGCTTTGAGATAAACTGTGTGGATTGGATTCCAACTTAACACAGTATTTACTGAGCCTGCTATGTGCAGAGTTCTGGGAGGACAGAAGAAGCATTAGACCTAATCCCTGTCTGCAGGGAGAATGTGCTCCATCTCATTCACTTCAAGTCAACTCAGTAACTACTTATCGGGCTCCTGCTTTGGGTGCGGCAGGGTTGGGTAAGGGAGGACAATGAGTTGGCCCGGCCTCTGTTCCCCAAGGCCTCCCAGCCTGTTGAGGAAGAGAGCTGTACACAAAAATGACTCTGCGAGAAGTCTGGCCATAGTAACAGCTCTAATAGAAATTCAAACAGCATCCAAATGTGAATGCTTCACAAATTTGCACATTTGCTTAGGCTGCTATTTAAATTACTTTCCCTTCCCCGTGCACATGCCAATAGGCAGTAGGGGAGGCAGCCCAGGTGCTCCCCAAGCTGGCAGAGGGGGTGCGGGGGTAAAGCTGGAGAAATCAGACTGAGGTGAACGGGAGGCTGCCAATATTTCACAAAGTGGACTACGGAGCGTCACCCCTGAAACCATCTCTCCTCTGCCTGGGCAGCGTTCTCATGACCATTCTTTTCTCTTCTTCCGTCTTCGTCCCTTCTGTGTGGCCCCTCTTCCAACACCCTTACCTGCTTCTCCCCGCCTCTGTCTGTCTCTGTCCCTCCCTGCCTGGCTCACGCCGAGGGCAGGCACCTCTGTCAGCCTCCTCGCAGTGGTAGTTATTGTGTGTGGCGTGGCCCTGGTGGCAGTTTTTTTCTTTCTCTTTTGGAAGCTGTGCTGGATGCCCTGGAGAAACAAGGAGGCCTCTAGTCCCTCTTCTGCTAACCTCCCCCTGGAGGCCCTCCAGAGCCCCAGCTCCAGAAGCAACATGGCAGACAAGCTGAAGGACCCCAACACTCTGGGCTTCCTAGAGGCGGCTGTGAAAATCAGCCACACGTCCCCAGATATCCCTGCTGAGGTGCAGATGTCAGTCAAGGAGCACATCATGCGTCACACGAGGCTGCAGCGACAGACCACAGAGCCAGCATCATCCACCAGGTGAGGGGTGGACTCCTCCTTTCCCTAACTTGGCCACGTCCACGTTCCTGTATTTGATATGTTAGTGAGATTCCAGCCTGTGAGGATCAGAGAGCAGGAGTAATAGCACATGTGCTTTGGAGAATATATCAGATGATATGTTCCATGGTGGGGGATCAGCTAGGAGACGGGCACCAGGAAAGACTTCAGGAAAGACATGAGGCACGTGGTGTGCCCTGAGATGTGTGTGTTGGGTGTTTGGAGGGAAGGAAAGACTTCTGGCAGAGGGAAGAAAATATGCAAAGGCCCAAAGCATAAAATCTCATGGAGTATCTAGGGATATGTCAGTAAAGCCTTGCGGGTAGAGTCTGTGGTGCCTGGGAGATAAGGCAGGAGATGCCTAACATTTTGAGAATGAGAATTCCTTTGTAACCTTGGCAGAGCTACCTGCATGACAGGAATTGCATTCATGGCATTCTTTAACTGAAAAAACAAAATGACAACAAAAACAGCTACTGCCACTTAATGACAAAAACCTGCTCTAAATTCGGAAACACTTTTGAAAGAAGTGGTGCATGCAGGTATGAGGCATTGTCTTATCCAAACCTTAGGGAGCCTGTGGATTCTTGGGTCCCTGCAATGTCTCCCCAGGCTCCCAGGGGACCGGCTGAAGGGAAAGAGGCCTGGTCTTCAGATTGGAGGCCAGGAATGAAAGTGCTGGGGTATGTACGGAGTTTATTGTATGGCCACAGGCAAGTTGCTCACCTTTCCTTAGCTTCACTTTCCCGAAGTGTAAAACAGGGCTAATGATGCTCATAAGATTGCAACGAAAGAATCCGTGTGATGATGAGAGCTAATGATACGCTTCTTACACACCTGGCCCTGTTCTAAGCACTTTATATGCATCAATTCACTTCACCCTCAGCAATCCTATGCAGTTGCTACTTTTATTGTTTTCATTTTAGGGCACAGAGAGGTTAAATAATTTGCCCAAAGTCACATAGCTAGAAAGTGGCAGAGCCAAAATTAACCTCTGCAATCTGGCTCCAAAGCCCAATAAATGTTGACTATGGTGGTGGCGATGATGAAGGGAATGCCACATCAAGGGTAGGAATGGATGGCCCCTCTCCCAAAGGAGCTCGTGGTTTAGTAGGGGAACCAGAATCACGTCTACTGGGAAAGAAACCTAGAAAGCAGATAACAGAAAAGCACGGAAGAAGATGATGATGGCAATGGCTATCATGCTTTGAGCTATACACCAGGCCCCATTCCAATGACTTTACCTTTGTTAAGACGTGTAATGCGCACAACAACCTGTGCACAAACTGCGTGCAGAGGGACAGGTGGTGGACAAGTGGGAGGAGAAAGGGGTAGGGGTAGGATGAACCAGGGTGGCGGGGTTGTGTCTGCTTGCATCCCCTCCCTGAGCCCTGACCACACTCTCTGGCCCCCTCCTGCCCTCTGCCAGGCACACGTCCTTCAAGCGCCACCTGCCAAGGCAGATGCACGTCTCCAGCGTGGACTATGGTAATGAGCTGCCCCCGGCGGCAGAGCAGCCCACCAGCATCGGCCGCATCAAGCCGGAGCTCTATAAGCAGAAGTCGGTGGATGCGGATGAGGCCAAATCCGAGGCAGCCAAGAGCTGTGGGAAGATCAACTTCAGCCTGCGCTATGACTACGAGAGTGAGACCCTGATCGTGCGCATCCTGAAGGCCTTTGACCTCCCTGCCAAGGACTTTTGCGGCAGCTCTGACCCTTACGTCAAGATCTACCTCCTGCCTGACCGCAAATGCAAGCTGCAGACCCGGGTGCACCGCAAGACCCTGAACCCAACATTTGACGAGAATTTCCACTTCCCTGTGCCCTATGAGGAGCTGGCTGACCGCAAGCTGCATCTCAGTGTTTTTGACTTTGACCGTTTCTCCCGCCATGACATGATTGGAGAGGTCATCCTGGACAACCTCTTTGAGGCCTCTGACTTGTCCCGGGAAACCTCCATCTGGAAGGATATCCAGTACGCCACAAGTGTGAGTACAGCCCTGCACCTGGGCTTCTTGAGGATTTCTAGTTCTGGGTTGAGTGGGATGTGTCCCCATCACCCTGACCCCTAGAGATAAGTGGGCCTTTGCCCTTCAGGATGTGAAGAGGGACTCTGGAAACTAGAAACAATGGCCCAGCCCACCCTGGGGAAGTCCTTGCACTCTGCCCCAGGTTGAGGTGGGGGCAGCAGAGCCCCCACGTGGGTGGGAAGGGAAGGGAATTTTTGCTTGTTGCTTCTGATCACATGTTCTGAGGTGGTTCTCTCTATCTGCTAGGCCTTAGGTCTACCACCTAAGTCTTATACATCTCTTTGATCATGGGTAAGGATGGGCAGGTCCCTAGACTGAATCACACAGCAGTATCTGTCAAGGACGTTGATGTGTACTAGAAGCCTGGAAAAGACCATCAAGAACAGACTGTATTAATCAGGATGAACCAGGTTATGATGCAGCAATAGGCAATGCTAGGATTTGGTAGCTTAAAGCAGCCAAGGTTTAGTTCTTGTTCATGTTACACGTGCTTTGCAGCCTGGCTAGGGTTCTCCTCTACCTTGTTATCCAGGGATCCAAGCCAACAGAGGCTCCATTTCAACATGGGCTCTCACAGTTACCCACTCAGGAGGAAGGAGATGTGGCAAATCATGCACTGTTTCTTTTTTATTTTTTGAGGAAGATTAGCCCTGAGCTAACATCTGCTGCCAATCCTCCTCTTTTTGCTGAGGAAGACTGGCTCTGAGCTAACATCCGTGCTCATCTTCCTCTACTTTACATGTGGGATGCCTGCCACAGCATGGTGTGCCAAGCAGTGCCAAGCAGTGCCATGTCCGCACCTGGGATCCAAACCAGTGAACCCTGGGCCACCGAGAAGCGAAACGTGCACACTTAACCACTGTGCCACTGGGCCGGCCCCCATGCACTGTTTCTTAAAGCTTCCACACAGAAGTGACACATGTCACTTCCACTCACATTTCATTAGCCAAAGCAAGACACATGGAAACTCCTAATATCAAGGGGACAGGACAAAGCAATCCTAGCACATACCCAGAAGGAGAAGTAGAAGTACTTAATGACCAACACTAGTGAGAACCACAGAGCAGAGCCTCTTCTCTTACGCATTGCCTGCCCAGGCCAGTCTGGGAGATGGGGGAGGCAGGCCTGAAAGGAGATCTGGGAAAAGAGGTGGCTGGCTTTTCAGAATCAGCTGCAATTAACCAGGGAAGGTTCAAGGGGCTGAGGCTCAGATTGGCTTTTAAGGGGGAAGACAGGTTTGGCACAGAGAATTGAGAGGGCCTATCCAGAGCCCTTCAGTCCAGTGTAGACGCTATTCTCCAGTCTAGTGGGTGGGTGTTGAGGAAGCTGCGTACCTGCGTCCCGCAGCTATAGGTGGTGTGCCTCGCTGTAAGCCGACGCGGGCAGCTGAGAGCCCAGCAGGGCCGTTTCCACCACACACCAACAGCCTTGCATCGGGTGTCTTGCGTGCTCACTGGTTGTGTGTCTCCCTGGAAATGCTTGCACCATTTCTCTGGGGCAGGGGTGACCCCACTCAGTCTGCAGACCCTCCCTTTGGACAGTCAAGACTCAATATCTCGGTGTTGACTTTGTGGGGAGAGAGGCTGGGAAAATCAGCCCCACTCTGGTGGGAAAAGGGTAAGAAACTTGATTTGCTCAAAGAGAGGAGGCTCGGTGGGCTCCATTTCTGCCCCAGGGAGGGTCTCTGGGACACCCCATTCTCATCACTGTTTCTGACTTTGATCAGTCCACTCCAGTGTCCCAGTGCCTCCCCCAGCTTTGCTTTCCTGAAATGTCATCCCCAAGAGCAGCACAAGCAGCAGGGCCGGCAGACGGGGCGGGCAGACGGGGCGGGCTGGAACAGCAGCTGTGTGCCAGCCCCAAGCCCAGGAGCTCTGTTCTATAAATCACTCTGAAGTTTACATCTGGTGCAGCTCTTCCCCTGTGGTCTCGTAAGGCAGCAGCTTCATTACAGTGACTGCACAGGTAACGAAAAGCAGCTTGGTCCTCCCAACACTGGGGTTGAGGCCCAGGGGCTCAGAGAGAGGGAGAGATGAGGGCCAGGGGCTGCAGGAAGCAGAGCTCAACTCAGCCCTCTGAGGAGACTCCCTTCTCCTCACCAGGGTCCTCCCCTCCCTCTCCTGTGACTTTAGCCCTGGGCATTGTGGAAGCCCCAGTCCTGGAGTAGGCAGTCGCTGCCCAGGCACACCCCTCACCTGGATGCTGACTTCCTAGGTTTTAGAGCTCTAGCTGTCCCTGCCCTCGTCCCACCCCCCCTTGCCCAGCCCAGCTGCAGAAAAAGGCGGATCATCCAGAAGGTGCTGCGCACATTGCCGCAATCCTCACCATCCTCAGTCAGTACACTGTAGTCCTCCTCTATCTCCTCCTAAGCAGAGCACTGTGCCAGGCACTGGGAGGTGTGGGGGGTTGGGACAGAAGACCGGCTCTTCAACCCACAGAAATTCATAATCCAATTACAGAGACAAGAAGTGTCTGTGCAGTAGCCAGCAATGCTAAGTAGCAAATCCTGTATCCTGTATGAGGTTGCAAGACCTGAGAGTTAGGACAGCCAGAGAAGTTTTCCTGGATGTGGAGGAATTAAGCAAGGCAGGGAAGGACTGGTAGGATTGATAGGCAAAGAGGAAGCGGGAGCATTCTAGCCAGGAGCCGAGGGAGTCTGGGCCCAGGAATGTCTGAAGCTGAAGAGCAGTGACCGTGTTCACACGTCCTGTCTTGTTTGCAGTCTGTCTGAGCTGCATGTTCTCCCCAGGGGAGGCCCCTGGGGCCCTCCCATCCGCAGCCTCTCCAGTGGGCTGGGTCTCAGAAGCAGGCTCCTCATCCTGGCGCTCCAAGAATCAGGCAAAGGAAGGGAAAGGGAAATAAGGCTGGTGCTTTCACCTGTTTTTTGGTGCTGACTCTAAAATTGTAATTATTTGGGGCAAGAGAGGCCCAAGTCATGGTCACCGGGAATGGGTGAGCACTTGGCGTATATGAAATCCTGCAGCCAGCATGGCAGGGGCGGTACAGAGGAACACAGCTAGCTGGCCCCCATCTCTCCGGCAGGCAGGATTCCCTTCCTAAAGCTGCATTTTGGCCTCAAGCTCGCTCCTCTGCCCGGCAGGCGGGTCCCTGAACATGCCCCACATTCCTGCCTCTTGCCTTGGCTCTCAAGCTTCCCTGGGTCAGGCGGCCTTTCCCCCACCTCTTGGCCTGGCCCAAATCATTCCGCCTTTCAAAGCTTCCCCGAAGTCCTTCCACTCTCACAGCAATCACTCCTCCTGATTTGTTCTCTGTGTCCCTTAGTTACATCCTGAATCATATTCTGTCTTGTAAAGTTCTCCCAATGGTTCAGAAATGGCTTGTGGTCCATGTTTGACTTTCTCTTGTATTTTCCTTCAGGGCTAAGCATATCGCATTGTGCAAACATAAGAACTCAGTACATTCTTGGTGAATGACCAATGGCTTAGTTAATTTCATTAAAACTGTACGTTGGTGCACAAGGAAATGACTGTTAAAGAAGTCATGGAAGTTGGGTGCAGTTAACCTAGGAAGGCTTCCTGGAGGAGAAGGTCAAGTAGTCCTTTGAAAGTAGATAGAGCCAGGCTTGGTGGAGAGAGACCCAGCCTGTGCTTCAGAGGTACTTCAGAGGTATGGTTCAGATAGGTGGTTTGTGTCTGGAGTGGCAAAGAAATTAACCAGTCAGATCAGGTAGTCTGGACTGAAGTAGAGGGTCGGTGGCATACAGGCTGGATAGAAGGAGAGACACCATGAGAATGGGGCCACAGGAGGCTGCTCCCCTTGTGGTTCCCGCGCTTGTATCGAGGAATCAGATTCAGCCTTGCAGGTGGAACCAGGGGTGTCCCTTGTTTTGGCCCTGCCCCAGCGCTCAAGTTGGTTTACGCTAGCAAAGCCTGGGGCATGTGTGTTGTTTTCTCACAACCACTGAACATGGAGCTTCAAGGCTAGTGAAGGGGAGGTGTACAGGATGGTGGTGGGGGGCGTCTAGCTCTTTGTTAATTGCAAATCTTAAGCTGCAAGGGACACTCACCTCGCCACCCCCAGGCTGTTCTGGAGGGAAGCCTAGGTGGCGAGGGAGCTATATACTCCCCCCTGGCCTGGAGGGCGCGGAGCAGGCAAGCCGGCCATAGCCGGCCGTGCGAAGGCGTCGGTCGGAGGCTTCTGCTGTTCACCGAATCAAGAAGGTCAGGCGTGGGAAGGAATGGAGGCAGTTGATCAAATCCACTCCAGCCCTGGGCAGGGCTGCCCCTGGTGCTCCTGCTGCCCCACCCCTGCCTGGCTTGACGAGGGTCCCTGTTGGTCTCCTGGGCGTTCCCAGCAGCTCGCCATTTTCTCTCTACCCAGGACTTCGATTGGCAGGGATCACCCTGCTCCTCCCTTCCCCCTTGGCTGCCCTCAGCCTCATTATTTCTGCATAAAGCTGTAGATTTATCATTATCATAGAGCCGCCGTCACCAGGGTTTGCCAACATCTCTGTAATCTTCTAGTTATTGCCGCAGAGGCCTGAGACCCCAGCGCACACAACTATTCCTGTCGCTATTCCTGCACCTTCATGGCGGCGGGAGGTGAAGGCTGTAATTGGGGCCATAAATATGTGTTGTGCTTGGTGGCGTTAATGGACTCAGCCATCGCCCTGCCTTACCAGGTCCCCGCCAGGTCAGAGTGAGCGTGCGAGAGCATGCATGCGTGCGTGTGTTTGGGGGTGAAGGGGTGCTCAGTGTAGGTCCAGGGAGCCCAGCCTCAGAGCCTGCAGGGAGGGAGAGAGGCCTGTGAGGTGGAAGGGTCTCCAGCCTGGGGATGAGCAGAGCTGTACAGAAAAAGCTCAGGCTTTGGTGCCAAACACACCTGTGTTACACCCCAGCTTCCGCACTTTCTAGCTTTGAGACCTTGAGGACGTTATGTAAATCATGCCTCAGTAAAATAGGGATAACAACAGTATATAGCTCATAGTGGCGTTACGT